TGTCCTCTGTACTCATTTCCCAGAAACATCTCTGAAATTCCACTGTGTAGGTTTTCGTGGTCGTGCCGCAGAGCTCTCACCGATGTGTCGGCAGCTTGTGCCGCGTGTTGTTCGGCACGGTGTCTGACGTTTCGCTCCACTTGCTGAAGAAGCTCCGAGGACGCTTAGCGAAAGATCAGACATCTTGCCGAACAACACCCTGAAAACACATCGGAGAGCCAACTCTGAAATTCACACCACATCTCCCTAAGCTCCTAATTGGATATCAGTACTTAACGTAATTCAGTATAATGTGGTTTTAACTCCCAATGACATCAATCAATGGCATTTGCAATTGCAAAGAGGCATTCCAGGGTCTGCTGGTATATAGCGACGGATTCGTCTGTCATTGCGGATTCTCGCCGTGAGTGATTTTCCAGACCGTGTCTCTGAGCAGACATGTGGCTGCACTCCTGGAATCTTTGCTGTTGCCGCAGAATGTATCCTCGGCCGTTTGAGCGAATTCACAATACAGGATGGTAACATTTATTGCTAGAAATGCAGATTAACTGCTTCACTGTAGCCACAGTTTCCAGTTTTAGTCTTGACTGAGATGGTTCATATACACGAAGACCCACGAAGCATTTTAATTCGACAGGGCAACTGAGGATAGCAACAAAACATGAAGAAAGTATTTAAGTTATTACGAAAAAAAGCTTGGTAAAGGAAGGAATGAAATCAATACAAGACTGAGTTAAGAGAAACCAAAAAGGAAGTCAGCCCTGCCAAGCGATTCATAAAAGTAATGAAGATTGTTTTAAGATAAAGCAGAGTGTCTCTGGAATTTATCCAGATTGGGAAAATTATTCAATAGAGGCTGGGCCCATCAGCACAGACAACTGGGGGAGCGCGTGCATGTGGTGCCACGTAAAGATTGTATTTCATTCAGCTCCATTATTTACTTTGGAGGATGGCATTCACCTGCTCATGTATTTACAAGTTTTCCGCCGGATATAAAATGTGGAATAACTGGCGACAGCAGCGGCAGCAGCCGCAGAATGAGGCAATGTTTGGACTCCGATGCCTCTTTATAGCGGAGCGGACAGGCCTGACATCGCGAGCAGCAGCTCGGCCTGCAGCCCAGAGTCGCTGTCTCTGCGCCACTGCGGCGCTGCTCTCATCCCTGACTGGGCTGCCTGCACTCAGAATTCTCGAGCGTACGCTTAGCTAGCACGTAAACAACTCTTCCGATTTAAAAGAGAATGGTTTACATGGCCACCCACTTAAGGGAGTGCTGATTAGCTGCACGATAAGCCACTTTGTTAAGCTATCATTTGTGAACAGTTCGCTTCTGAAAAAGAGCTATATAACTCAGTGGGCCTTACCTGGTAAAATAATTGCCTACTTCCATGAATAGATCCGATTGTTGACTCAGGAGCCTTTCTGTGTGGAGTTGGCATGTACCCCCCCCCCCCCCCCCGCAGTTGGTTTGGGTTTTCTTTTGGTTCTCCAGTTTCGTGTCATAGTGCAAACCCCACGCGATGTAACTGGCATTGGCCAAGCAACCCAATGCTGAACGATGACCTGCAATTTACTCTTCATTTTTATTTCACGCAGTAACACCGGTCGCGAAAACTTGGTAAGTTCCTCCGAAAAGAGGGCCTTGAGACCCAGCGAAGCTTCCCTGGGTAAACAAGCATACTCATAGTTATAATAAGAAACCTGTGAGCAGCACATTATCAAGGACACTGCACGTGGTGCCCTCGTGTTATTCTTTTGAAATATGTGGTCCCTCATCTGCGTTTGTATCTATGTTGAACTTTTTTCGTACCATACGCAGCCAACCGTGCTAATCGCTGTACAACGGGAAACTTGCGGCTCTGATTTGAAGGGGGTTACAAACTCTGGTTTTCTGGTTTCAGTGGACGCATCGGTAATTATGACCCAGCTGGATTCCTTTGGCGGAAACCTTAAATTCGGTGGATTATTTAGCGTGGACTTTTGGGATTAATTACAATTGTTGTTTTGTTGAGAAGTATTTTAACAAATATAAACCCACATATTTTAGAATAATTTCAGATGTAATTTCAGACATTGATTCACTGCACGATCGCTGTAACGAAAGTGAAAACGTTGCAGTGCCCTGGGTGGGAACCTCTGCTTCTGTTTATGCAAAACGGCAGCACGGGGTAAACTTTAATATCTCTGCGAGGAGAATAGATGAAAATCTGCAGCTCCACTTCCACGGTTTATCCCGTGAGGAATGCGCGCCACATGCTGACCACAGTGCTCGCCGCACCTCGGCGCGAGAGCTCCGGTGGCCGGTGCTGCCGCCTCTGGCTCTGCGCTCGCGTGGAGCGGGGCCCAGGTGGAGCAGGCCCCAGGTGGAGTGGCCCCAGGTGGAGTGGGCCCAGGTGGAGCGGGGCCCCAGGTGGAGTAGGGCCCAGGTGGAGTGGCCCCAGGTGGAGTGGCCCCAGGTGGAGTGGGCCCAGGTGGAGTGGCCCCAGGTGGAGTGGGCCCAGGTGGAGTGGCCCCAGGTGGAGTGGCCCCAGGTGGAGTGGGCCCAGGTGGAGTGGGCCCCAGGTGGAGAGGGCCCAGGTGGAGCAGGCCCCAGGTGGAGTGGGGCCCCAGGTGGAGTGGAGCCCTAGGTGGAGTGGGCCCAGGTGGAGTTGCCCCAGGAGGAGTGGGCCCCAGGTGGAGCGGGGCCCCAGGTGGAGTGGCCCCAGGTGGAGTGGGGCCCCAGGTGGAGTGGCCCCAGGTGGAGTTGCCCCAGGAGGAGTGGGCCCCAGGTGGAGCGGGGCCCCAGGTGGAGCGGGGTCCAGGTGGAGTTGCCCCAGGAGGAGTGGGCCCAGGTGGAGCGGGGCCCCAGGTGGAGCGGGGTCCAGGTGGAGCGGGGCCCCAGGTGGAGTGGGCCCAGGTGTAATGGCCCCAGGTGGAGCGGGACCCCAGGTGGAGTGGCCCCAGGTGGAGTGGCCCGAGGTGGAGCGGGACCCCAGGTGGAGCGGGGCCCAGGTGGAGCGGGCCCAGAGGGATTGGTGGCATTCACGGTCCCATTTCAAAGGCATCTGCGTTCCACCCATGGCCAACCGGCGCGCGACTCCTCTCGCAACCGCGGCGCCTGCGGGCAGAAGCGACCGGTCGCGTCTCTCGGTCAACAACATTTTGCGCAGCGCGTGCCGATGGGAGCCATCCATTCAGTACGCGCTCAATGGATGGCCCCATGGACCTTTCCCTCCCTTTTGCCGTTTTGAAACCAGCTTGAGGGTGCCCCCCCCCCCCGAATGAGGAGGTCCCCCAAGGAGCATCCCGAGGCCGCTGCTGCTAGTTGTGAGGCTCGCGTGTTTCTGCCCCATCTCCTCTACGCGTGCATGATTCCGTGCGCTCGCTCCGCTGCTGCTTTGTAGTCGAGGTCGTCGAGGGAAATGCGTGGCTCCGCGACGCGACGATGCCGCTGTTGTTTGGGGGCTCCCATCCCCCTTAGCCGTCATCAAAGTGAGCAGCGTTGCCCAGGCCGAGATTGTAGCCAGTGTTATCATATTGACTCAGCGCATGGTACTCAACTATTTTTTTTTTCACCGAGGCCAGAGACCGGATTGAAATATTTAGTTCATGAATGAAACATGTCGGCTGAGATATTAGCCACGACATGTCGTTATTGCCCGTGCGCCACACATTCAGCACAGGGATCGGTTTAATATTTAGTCGGCAAATTGTCACAGCACGCTCTCGCTATCCAGAACGCGCCCGATGCCGTAAGACTGTGGAATGTGCGTTGAGCGAGCTTATTTATTGCTCTCGATCCAGGCACGTGCCTGTCGGGGGGCCCTGAATGCCAGCGCAGTAGGACGACCTGCAACCTATTATACAGCCCCCCTCCTCCTCCTGACAACTCGTGCCGCATTCACTCACGTCGAGGGCCCGCGAAGAAGGGCCGAGGGCCCGCGAAGAAGGGCGGCACACGGCACTGACAGGGCCATGCTGTGAGGTCGACTGTGCCGACCGTCGTGAATCGGTGCGTGGTCATGAGGTGTTGGGGGGCCGCTCTGGGCCCCTCTTGTGGGGGGGTAAATGACAAATTTAGTCTGAGCTATTTCGTGCGTCAAACTGTTGAGAGACGCTTGTGTTGAAACTGGTGCCGAATGTACGCGCTCCCAGGGGGCTGTGTGGCGGCTGGCGGGTTGTGTGAGGCGTTTATTTTTTATGTGAAAAGAGGAATACGAGGGCGGACATCGTCTGCTTATTTATTTTATTTATATTCTCTACAATGACGCAAATAATTATTTTGAGTTTTGCGTATACAAAGTTTAAGGGTTATCTCCTCAAACAATACGGTTACCTCAGGACACTCAAACTAAATACAGCGTTCAATATGAATCTGAAAATCGATGGCCAAACAATATTCTCCTGACAAGAGGCGTTCAGACTCCCGTAACGACACTGGCTTTAGAGACGTTTTGCTGCATATGATAAACAATGATCGCGATGACGACCTGTGTTATGGCCAGCTCACCTGGAATGCACTCCCATTTCACCAGATCTCAGAAGCTCATCAGGTTTCAGTCTGGATAACACTTTGTGACCAATCTCTTTTAAAGCAGGTGTTGTTATTGGCTTCTGAGGGGGCGTCATTGTGGACAATACAGCAAAACCCGTTGTTGTGCCCCGAGTCGTACGCTCCCACATCGATGGATTCTTGGCCTGTATTTACATAATTTTTTATGCAACCGTAGCAAACTGGGATTTAAAAGTAATTGAGTATCTTAAATAAGCAGACAATACACTTCCACATTTCCATACCTCCACATACGTTTGTTTTCTACCTCTCATCAGTGAGAACTGTTTGCGAGTGCATCACTTCAACAAACTTTGTACCAGTTTCGACATTCGACGTCTTATCAGCAGAGTCAGGTTGATTTGAACCAACGCTGGTGACCTGCCAGGTGTTCATAGGCAAAAGGACCTTCACTTAAATACGAGCGCTGATTCCCTCCTCCTCCTCCTGATCGTCCTCGCCCCAGCAGGTTGCGCCCCGTCCACGGAGGCCGAGCTCGTGCTGCTGCTGGAGGCGACGCGGGGCCTGGACGAGGCCGACTCGCGCCTCGCGCTGTCCTTCGCGTCGGCCCTCGCGGGGGCCTTCCCCGTGGGGGCCGCGACGCGCGTGGCCCTGGTGCTGTACGGCGCCGCGGCGCGCACCCGCGTCGCGCTAGGCGCCGAGACGCGGCACGCGCGGCTCGCCAACCTCATCCTCGGTCAGCCCCTGCAGCAGGAGGGACCCCCCAACGCCGGTGAGGGTGCACGCGGGGACCATCAGCACCCCGCCACACACACACGGCAGCACGCTGCAGGGAGTAGACGTGGGCCAGGAGATGTTCGATCGGTGCGGTTTCCCCACCCAACCCCACATCATTCTAACCCTGTGTAAGCCATCATGAAGTTCTAATCGTATTATGGAATGCAGCCTGCACTACAATTTCCACCCTTCCTCAGCTATCTGCATGGACTTTTACTTTCAACCACACTCTACTATAATGGAAATTAAATAATATATAACAACTATATATTACTTTAACTATACAACATCTGCCACCTACCTTATCATCATGGGACCTCCTTTGCCAGTACCAAAATATGAGAATAGGTTTGCCACTTTTTCTGGCAACAAAACAGGTGTTGAGATGTTAAAACACCAAACTAAAACATTTTACCAGGAATCATGTCTGCATTAACCACACTGCTTGTGGTCAGAATGCAAACATTGATTGGCCCACACCAGAGACAGCTTTCTTTAGAGCCTAGTCTCAAAACGGTGCTAGACCAGAGGACGCCAAAAGGCGTACAGCACAAAGACAACGCACTATCAGAGTAATGAGAGCTCGGGCTGAGCAGCTACATCATGGAACCTTCTTTGCCAGTAGCAAAATATGACGTGTTCTCCTTTTTTCTGGCAACAAAACAGGTGTTGAGATGTTAAAACAACAAATTGAAACGTTTTACCAGGAATCATGTCTGCATTGATCACAATACGGTCAATGCAGCCATGATTCCTTGTAAAAGGTTTCAGTTTGTTTTAACATCTCAACACCTGTTTGGTTGCCAGAATAAAGGGGAAAACCTATTCTCATGTACCATATCCTTGCCCCAGCTGTCGCTGAGAGTCATCCGTGCCTTAATCTTATCCCGACTCGACCACCGCGACTCTCTCCTCCACGGCCTCCCCACGTCCCTCATCTCCAATCTCCAGAGGAACCAAAAATCCAGTCAGAATCCTCACCCGCTCCCGTAAATGCTCTGATTCCTCCACTGGCTCGCAATCCAATTCCAGATCAATTAAAACATTGGACTCACCGTCTCTGAGACCACTCACCGCTTATCTCACACTACTCTCCTCCACTGTCCGCTCCATCAAACAAGAATTGCTATCAAAGCCCAAGATCAACCTTCGCTCAGCGGGAGGTTACTTCTTCTCTTCTGCTGCCCACCAAATCTGGAAGTCCGTCCCCCCAGCCAACAATACCGTCGACTCCCTGCCTCTATTCAAGTCCAGGCTTGAGACCTCTTCTCCTCTGCCTTCCACCGGCTGCCCCTGCCTACGAAATAAATTCACCCACTCGTTCACCATAGCATCTTCACACGCAGTGGCATTTCCCAGCTCTCTCAATCCACATCGCGTCGCGTACTTTGCATAACACGAATTCCGTGCGCGTGCGTGCTTGTGCTTGTGTGTGCGTGCAGGCGAGGCACTGCGGCACAGCCTGGACACGCTGCTGGGCCCCGCGTCCCCCGCGCGCCCCACCGCGGCGCGCCTCCTCGTGCTGCTCGCACGCAGCGCGTCGCACGACGACGTCGCCAGCGCCGCCGCTGCGCTGCACGAGGCGGGCGTGGACGCGTTCGCCGTGGGTGCGTGCTCCTTCGTCTCGATCCTGCTCCGAGATCGGACGGGAATCTGCGCGTAGTCAGGGAGGCTTGCGTCAACGCCCCGGCAGCTCGAAGTCCCTTAACATCGTAACCTCGCTCGGCTCGACCATTCTAATGCCATGCTCCGGTCTGGCCTGTGAGACCCCCAGTGGCGGCTGTCCCTGTGTGGCACAAGGTGTACGCAGCGCCGACTTGCATAGGCAGTGCCAGATTACGCTAGTGCGGGGCCTGTAGCATATGTTATCAAGGGGCTCTAAATAAAATAAACACATACATATTAAAACACATATTTTACTTGCATAGTAAAGTAATTGTATTTTTTCATCTGCTATACAGCCAGATAATACGTCAAATCGCTAACCTTAAACACCCAGTCGTTCATAAAAGTTGAAGGCGGTATAGTACTATAGTAATTGAGCAAGTGCAGAATCACTGAACCGGAATTGATAGCCTGAAAGCATTTAGCGCGGGGCCCTTGAAAGTGCGGGGCCCGTAGCATTATGTAGATACTTTTGCTACTGGGATAGTCCGGCACTGGGCATAGGACTACCTTCAGGTTGTGTTACAGTTGAAGACAACCTGCAGAAGCTTGGTCCAGGCTCGGTCTGTGGATTTAATTATCGTAATTCAGTCGAGGGAAATCGTTCAACATTCGGTCCCCTGTTGGTTATTAAATGTTGGTATACATTTATACATCGCCAGTATTTGAACATTCTCTTGGTCGCTGGCACTTAGCTAGGAGCCACAGCGATAGCAAGAGCTGTATACTGGATGTGGTGTGCTGAAATTACAAGCGCTGCCTGTGGCTCCTTCTAAACGGCCTTAGACCAAATCATTGGGGTGACCACCCGATCTCGTCGGTTGTCGGGAGGCCACGCGGTCCCCGCCACACGCACGCGTGGCGAGGCCCTGCGTGGCTGTCTGCGTCGTTGCCCTGGCGGTGCGGGGGGATGAAGCGAGCGGTCGCTGTGCGCAGGGCTGCCGGGAGCCGTCGCCAGCCAACTGCGCCTGGTGGCGTCGCAGCCGGAGCACCTGCTGATCGTGGCTGGCGCCGCGGAGCTGCCCCATGCCCTGCCCCGCCTGGTGGCCCTGCTGTGCGCGAGCGCCGAGGCCCAGATGGCTCTGCTGCGCCAGGGAGACGTGGGTGAGTGGGCGCACGGCCCCTCCGCGGCGTGCCACGTGCCGTCAATCACCTGTCATCGCCTCACATCGTGCACACATTTTGTTTTACGAGCCGCAGTATATCTTTTTTATTCTTTACGTAAAAGAAGATTCCCGTGTTATATCACAGGTATTGTTGGCCGAGCGAAGTTTATGATGTGAGAAACATTTCATTCGCCCTGTCAGCGGAGAGCGTCGCATCCTGGCAGGGATTGGGCTCTAGGACGGCTCCACAGAGCTAAATAGATCTCGCCAATCTTGATTTGAAGATCTCACCACTCGCATAATCAACACCACCTTGATTACAGAGAAATAGAGACACTTTTGGCGATGGCCCTTCTTCAGAGTCCACTTAACTACAACCACCCTCTCCTCGTTAAAAACTTGACACTGCTCCTATGTACTTTGTGCAGATTGGTTTTCTGCGAGTCAATCGTCTAATGTAGTGTGACCCATTTATAGACACCCTATAAAAATACTCGAGAGCAATTGAGGAGAAAAAGACATTTTAATTCCACAGCCTCTAAATGTCTCCTGCTGCTGTCAGTGTGCCTATGAAGGTTGTTGACACCATGTGACTGATACCCCCATGCAGAGCCACCGATTCAGGTGCACGTGTCGGAGGTGACGTCGCGCTCGCTGCGCATCAGATGGGCGCTCCCCGCGGGCCCCGTCTCGGGCTTCCGTGCGGTGTGCGCCCCCGCGGGGGGCCCCGGGAGCAACGGCGTCCCCGCGGGCGGCCCCCCGCCCGTCGCCGGCGGCGGCATTCAAGAGCAGACGCTGGGCGGGCGCGACACGACGGCCGTGTTCCGTGGGCTGCGCTCGGACACGGAGTACCGCGTCAGCGTCTACTCCCTGCAGGGCCGCGCGCTCAGCGCGCCCGAGACGCGCACCACACGCACCAAGAGCACCAAGGTCACCGTGGGTGAGTGCGGCGATGGCACTCGCGCGGCGCTCGTGCAGCAAATTCAATTGTTGTACTGTACTTACTGTGCTCCCCACCTTCACCAACACGCACGAACCCGTGTGCTCAAATATGGCCAAATAACCCCCACGATCTGCACCGTTTGGGGAGTCCCTCATCCAGCAATGGATTGGCACTGGGGCCGTGTGCGCATACACACGCGTGTGTGTGTGCGCGTGTGTGTGTGCGTTGCATGTGTGTGCGTGTGTGTGTGCATTCGTGTGTGTTTGTGCGTGTGTGTGTGCGATGACCCCGGTCGCTCACCGTGGCCTCCGCGCGGTTCTGACGCACTCGCGCATCTCGCCGCAGAGTGCACGTCGTACGTGGAAGTGCGGGCCGACATCGTCTTCCTGGTCGATGGTTCCTACAGCATCGGCTTGGACAACTTCGCCAAAGTGCGCTCGTTTCTCGACGTGCTCGCTAAGACGTTCGACGTGAGCCCAACCAAGGTGCGAGTTTCCTTCACCCTCCCCATGTCGTCGCGTTTCTCTGCACGTTCGCTTGAATAACGGGTGCAGCAAGTATGTATGCGCAGCTTTTCACCTCGTAATGGGTGGATTGTGGGTAATTAAGTCATTAATTAATTAACCCTAAACAGATACAAATGAAAGAGTCTTTTGGGCCCGTGATTTTGTCGTTTCTCTTGGCCAATGTTTCCCACTCTGCTGATGAGAATCATAAATATGCGTTGAGATTATTCAGATTATTTGGCAGATATCACTTTCTCCATGATAAGCCACTTTGTTGAGCCAGTTCACTTCTGAAAAATAAGCTCAAGGCTCAGTGGGCTTTACCTGCTCAAATAAAAATATTTCAGTAATTTTTTTTCGTGATTTCCTTACCTTACCTATACTATGCACTCCTATCGTGTTGTTGTACTATTGTTGTAACTTTCTGACTCGCCGCTACTGTACATCTGTGAAAACAGTTCTTGAAAGCTCATCGGATACCTCAAGTATTAATACAGATTCTGATTCTCAGAAGGTCAAAACCAGCCCAGCGTCTGAAAGGCTTAAACTAATTTTGTTTGAAATAATAGTCACGAAAAATGTTCCCCAGCCACGTTTGTCAGCTGCCTGCAGTGTCAGGGCACCTGGCAGACAGTACAATGTTGAATACCCATATGACTGGTCCTCCATCTGCCTGTTATGAGGGCCTGTGAAGGTTGCACGGTGGTTTGCAGATATGTGTGGTGTTCATGTGAAAGGTTTAGGTAAATTGGTCCAGACCAGAAAACTATTTGTGCAAAAAAAACAGCAATTTTCTTTCAGCAGTACAGGTTTTCGCGATTGCACTGCATAGATCTGTGACGCACGTTCGGGTTGTACCGACGTCCGGTCTTTCGTTTCGTCCCACGTGCTGGGACCTTCTTCGGGAACAGTGCGGTTCAACACCATCGTTCGTTCGTCAAGCGCCCAGACGTTGAGCGAAACGTCGGACATCGCGCCGAACTACACGTAGCAGCTGCGTGTCTCTAACACGTCGTAGCGCTGATTTTGTCGCCTCACCCGTGAAAACGATCAAACAATATTTATTTCACCAGATAAAGGCCCACTGAGCTATGTAGCTCTTTTTCAGAAGTGACCTGGCCGCAAATGATACCTCAACGAAGTGGCTTATCGCGTGGAAATGTAGAGCAGCAAAGTACTCTAAATGCATGTTTCTAAACGTGGAGGGAAAAACGGGAGGACCCGAGGAAAATTCCACGCGACCACGGGGAGAACATAGGCACCCAAAATATACAGCAGGCGTCAAGGTCGGGATCAAACCCACGACCTCCTGTGTGCCAGATGAGGTAGTTCATATCTCGCCACCGTGGCACCCGTTTGCCGCGGTGGGAGGGCGAGGCCCAGCCCAAACAATTGTCTTGTCATTAAACGTGGCCACGTTTAATGAAGGTAGCGTCGCACGGCTTGACACGGGGTTGGGGTGGGGGGGAGAAGCGGGGGAACTTCACGAGAAGGTGAACGCCATGATGGCGCTGCGCTGTTGCCGCACGTGGACGTGTCGCGGTGAGCCTCGTCGTCGTGTCACGCTGCCGGGGTCTGCGTGTCGCCGACTCAGCGCATCGCCGTGTGTTTGGCTCTGACAGAACGGAGTGTTTGAGAACATCGCGTCGTGTCTGTGTGTGTCTGTGTACGTCCGGCCACACAGTGCTATGTGCGGTGTTTGTTTCAGCAAGGCAGTGTATAGCTGAGCTCAGTGCGATGTGTTTGTGTGTCTCTTTGTGTTTCATCGTGTCGCTATGACAATGTGTAACCGCCGTTGTCCTTTCGCTTGTTATTCTGAATTCTCGTGTGTTTTTGTACTTTGCTGTGCCCTTGTCCGTGTCCCAGCATGGTACAGTGCATAGCAATGTCTCCCTGGTGCATCTCCTCGCCACGTTTCGTGTGGCTGTTGGAATTTGATGTGAAATACGTGCGCTTACGTACGTTGCTTTTGGAGATGTTGCCGCGGTGTAATGGTTCGCACCCTGGATCATCGAGATTTTAAAATCCCTTCTCCGCCTCTGTCCACCCAGCAGAATGAATGACAATACCACAGTTAGTCGAACAGCAGGTTACGTGTGGTGGGGTAAAGTTTTGGTATTCCCAAGACGTCTAGCCAGCATGGAAGAGTAGGCCAAAACACCACTGTACAGGAGGTAGCTCCAGTGGAGGCCCTTCCTCCAGGAGTGGAGCGAGCAAGAGCTGCCAGGGCTGCACCTTTACCTTTGCACTAGCTGCTGTGAGCCGCGTCGTTCGGTGTGGCTTCTGCAATGTCACGTCACAAGGCCTCCACACGTCCACCCGTGAACGAGCGCGTTCGTGACCTCGAATGCTTCGTTGGAACATGTCCACGGACCGCATGCCGAGCCTGCGAGGGGAGACCACGGCGGGAGCGTGGAGGCGCCGTGGTGAGACACTGGTGCCCGCGGGACGCGCGGCCGTGCTGTGGCGATCGTTCGCCAAGCGGCCGTGTGCTCGACTCATTCCCTGGTGGGGCTCCCGCGGCGCTCTGTTGTGCGATGCCAATGATGTGATGGCCACGTGAGCTCTGAGTGTGGGGCGGCCTTCGCTAGGATGAGGTGCACTGCGTTAGGGTGAGGACGTTGACGGGAGAACGAGTTGGTCAACTTTTTTTTATTTTTGATTACACACGTGGCACCTTTCTGGCACAAATCTTCCACTCACAATTACGGTCGCATGTTTATCCAGGATGGCCTCGCTTGTTCTCACAACGCTTATTCACAAGGTCCTGGTGTAGGGAAGTTGAGCTTTGTGTGCGGTCTCACCTGTAGAGACAACTCAAGATGTCGGCATATACTGTTACATTAATGAAGTGAAGGAAAATGTCTATGAAACAGGATTTCAAACCTTTTTAGTAATATGTATTATTACAGAGTTTGTTCCACATGTGCTATCGGCATTATGTCATGAGAATCAATTGAGAGCTTCCAGAGCAGTGCATCCCATGTGGTAGACATTGGCTTCCACATGATTTAAAAATCCGTCAAATTGATATTTTAGTTTTCAAGCGAGAAGGATATCGCTTTATTCATAACCCTGCTAAGAGATTGTCTGTTGCATGACAGTCAAACAAATATTTTAAATTCTCATAGCTGGAATTTAGTCTAATCAGGTTCAAAATAAACTTTAACACGATATTTTGAAGAAGTTATTGGTGACCAGGATGAGGCCATTAATTATTTACACCTGAGAATCCAGGTTTGATCTCAGCAGTGCAAGCTCAGCGCTCTAATTTCTGAGCCACCTGAGTTTCACAATAATCAGTTTAGCCACCAGCGTGTCCTTGCGCTCACAGCGTGATTGAGCACTCCAACCGGGGAGTCACTCGGCCCGCATTTCAGTTGAGCGGTACAGCAAGCCACTGCGAAGTTTCTGTTTACATAATGAAAAAGTGCATTGTCTATTAATCATTGTATTATCCACAATACAACGAAACAGTACTAGTCTTGCTCTGCCTTCTAAATAATTGTGGCGTTTTTAATTCTTGTGTCTTTTTGAACGCTCGTGTTTCTTCACTTGCATCACCAGGTTATTCCAAGCAAATGTTATTTTCAGACTCGTTTGTCTTGATGTAAAATTTGTCCGAAAACTATTTACTCCAGAGGTTTTGTTCCTGCCATGAACCGCTATTGGCTGTCTTTTCTTTGTCCACATCTTGGCTTGGAAATGTGTTTTGAGTGAAGTGTTTTTTATTGTCTATATTTAGGAAAGGCACATTGTAACTGCGCTCTCCTGCGCCGACCGTCAATGCGTTGCGATGATCCGTGCTGAGAAGTTGTCACAGCCGACAAAGGCCCCCGCTGTGTTCCCCTGACAGTGACACTGATCAGCGTTGAGAACTCGTCTCGCTTCACTCGCTCTGAGCTCACGTTCATCCCACACACCGACTCCAAGGCTTTCATCGCACAAAACGACTGCACAATGCCCGTAATTTGACTCGCCGCGATGTCATCACTTCCATGTGCGGCGAGTTTTGTCAATCTACCGTTGGGTGAGGACCTCTTCACTCCGTGCAGGTCGTATGGGTTATTTGACCATACTTCACCGTGCTGGCGAGCTATTCAGTCTCTTGTGCTATTCATGCCTGTGATGTTTGTTTTTGCCTTGTGACTGATGAGAGGCTATGACTTCGTGGTTCTGCCCCTCGTGTTAACAACGCCGAGAGCGACCGTGCGTGCGCCTGTCCAGGTTTTCGCATTTTTCACGTCACGATAAATTGGGTTCACGTCGCCTCTGGCGGACTTTCTTCTATAGGTCCCAGGAATGGGTGTCGCTCTCATCGAATGTCATCCGGCCGAACGGTAGCGTTCACAAAATGGTCCAGTTCCTCACGGCAAACCTAACATTTTGGGGGTTCCTGAGATGGCACGTCTGAATAATCACTTGGCACAAACCGCTACGCCGCAAAGCGCTTGGCGCAGCACGTTGAAACGGCGAGGTGGCCGAGACTAAATGGTAGCTAGGAGATGTTAACTACCTCGCCAGGTATACAGGAGGTCATGGGTTCGATCCCGACCCTGACGATGCCTGCTGTATATTTGGAGTTTGCGCGTCTCCCTCCCTGTGGTCGTGCATGTTTTTCTCCAGGTCGTCCGGTTTTTCCCTCTATATTTAGAATCGACGTATTTGGCTCTATAAATTTCCACACGATAAGCCACTTCGTTGAGCTATCATTTGTGGCCAAGCTGCTTCTGAAGAATAGCTATGTAACTCAGTGGGCTTTACCTGGTAAAATAAAAATGTAAGTGTGTTTAGTTTTAGTTAAAAACATGAGCTGCTGGAAGTCAAGAAGATGAAGCCCCTTTCCAGTGGAAGGAAGCCATTGGGACAGTGACGTGGCCACTTGTTGCAGAGGTTCCCTGCTCGAGCCCGGTGGCCGTCCTGGTTAATACTGTGGATGTAATAACCAACAACGCTCGCAATGTGACCTGCAGGTGCGGCTCGGCCTGGTGCAGTACTCCCGCGAGCCCGTGCTGGAGTTTGCGCTGGACAAACACACAACAAGGGAGGCCATCCTGGAGGCCCTCAAGAACTTCCCCTATCGCGGCGGCTCCACCAACACCGGGCGCGCCATGACCTACGTGCGGCAGCGAGTGTTCGTACAGGCCGCCGGCGCCCGGCCCGATGTCCCGCAGGTAACTCCTGTCCCAGCGCCATCGCTGAATGAGGTCTGTGCTGAGCGTGGTCAGTGCGATCCCTGAATGAGGCATGTGGTGAGTGAGTGTGGTGAGCATGGTGGCGAGATGTTAACTCCGTCGCCTGGTATGGAGGAGGTCGTGGGTTCGATTCCGACCCTGACGCCTGCTGTATATTTGGAGTTTGCATGCTATCCCCGTGGTCGTGTGGATTTTTCTCCAGGTCCTCCGGTTTTTCCCTCTACATTTAGAATCGACGTATTTGACTGCTATAAATGTACACGTGATAAGCCACTTCGTTTAGCTATCATTTGTAGCCAGGTCGTTTCTGTAAAGGAGCTTTGTTTCTCAGTGGGCCTTACCGGGTAAAATAAAAAAGTGTATTAATAGTTAGGTGAGTTTGATTCCTGATCGAGGTGTGGAAACAAGTGATGATATGGAAATCACAAGAGAGAAATCAAGGAGGGCACGGGCACTCAGGAGTGAACGATAAAAGGTGGACCAGAGCCAGGAGGGCACTGGGCAGCCAGAGAGAGGGAAACGAACCATGGATCGATAGCAGGGTGAGGGTCGTGAGAAACACGATCTGGTAGACTCATCTGGGATCCAAAAAGAAATACGCCTCCTCCTTCACATATATCGTTACATTACAATTTAAAAGTACATGTTTTACACATTTCATCAGCAACACGGCCTTCTGGGAGTACGTGATGATTGAAAATAACGAGTCGCAAACCTTTATCGGAATTAGGACGAATTTGTAACAATCTTATACTTATGTACCTTCCTCGCCCGCGGTGTGGAATTTGCAGAGCGATAAATTATCATCGGCCCATTGCATTATTGCTAAGGGGTAAAAACATTAACGGGGTGGGGGGAATAATTGCCGAGGCCTTCGCCCGCGCGCTGCCGAGGAATGTGCAGAATCAGACGCGGGTTTCACGCGGCCCCCGGGCAGCATCGAGGCGCCTCCTGCAACTTCGCGCGACAGCGCTCACGCATTTTGCCTCCAATGCACGACATTGGGGAAAAGTGCATGGGCATTTACCCTCTCCGTGGCGATAACGCAGGAGGTTTTGAGACGTTCGAACGCCACAAATAGACACACCGATTGCAAGTCGTCAAGTCTGCATTCGCCAGACATGCTCGTGGTAAAACATGCCACCAGACACGCATTGTCCTTGCAACTGATTGGCCTTGTCTCGCCCAGTGTTAGGCCGGAGAACGCCAAAAGTCGAACAGCACAAAGGCAAAGCAAACATCAAAGCATCAATAGCCCGGGTTGAGCGGTTATACCTATGGGACTCTTTTTTACTGTTATCAAGGTGACGAACAAAAAGAGTCGGCTTCAGCCATTCCGACGCAAGTATTGTACAAAACGTGGTTACTTGATAATACACGTGGCAATAATGTGACCACCGCGGCTTAACGCGCTTGTTAATTTACCGCTAGAGCCGCCGCAGTAAATCACGTGGCACCCCCCAGGCCCTCCAGGCTGGCCGTGGCTGGGACGGCGGTGGAATATTTGCGGTGGAGCTCCCCCCCCCCCCCCCCCCCCCCACAGGTTGAGCCGAGCGTGGCCTTGACACGTCGTCTGACCGCCCCCCTCCCCCGCCCGCCCGTGATCTCTTGTTCACGCTCAGCGAGGACGCCCCGCGGTGTCAAGTGCAACTCTCATCCCCCCCACCTCTTGTTATTCACCCCCATCTCTGTGGCCTCTCCCTGTTCGTGTGCTGTGAAGCAGCAGAAGAAGACGGAGAAGCAGAAGGGACCATTGCTCAAAACGTTGCCTTGTCGTGTTTCTTCGAAGGGCGCACGCCGCACAGTGTTGTTGGCCAACGTGTTCAGTTTTTTGTTTGCTTCAGTGCCACATGGCCCAACCCAACCTGTGCGCTTTTCACGCTTGCTTTCGTGATGTGTACACGCGCGGCCCATCCAGTCAATCTACTGCTGGATGAGGGCCTCCCCACGCCACTTGGTCTGCGGCGGGGGGTTATTTGACCATACTTCACCACGTTGCTCAATGGGCATTGACGAAAGCGGGGAGCATAGGCATTGCAGCACGGTACAGTACAACAATGAATTTTGCTGCACATCGTCTGCTGACAACATTGCCCTGCAGCAGCCCCCTGACACTTGTTTTCAGCGTGGTGGTCGCCCATCCAAGCGTTAACCAGGCGCAAGCTCTGCTTAGCTTCCGAGATCAGGCGAGAGCGGGTGCATTGCGGGCTGTGCTGCACACACGACAACGCAAGGCAAAGGCGCAGCCCTGCAATGGCTCGCTCTCGCCGCATCTGGAGGAAGGGCCTCCAATCGAGGGAGCTCTAGAGAGCCCCCTCTGAAGGTGTTTGGTCTACTCCTCCACTCTGGTTTGTACGCCTTGGGGAGTACCCACGCTTTACTCCACCACGTGTCCAACCGATGCCCGATGCTGCGCCACTGAATGGAGTGATTAGTTCACAGTGCCGTGCTACAAACCTGGTGACCTGACTTTGATTCCCAGCCACGGATAATGTCAGTGGTGAGTGATATCTTAAATGGCCCTGGGCTCCCCCTCAACCAACCTGCATCTATTAGTGTGGTGAAGTATGGTGAAACAACCCCAAGACTGACATGGATTGACAATTGGCATAATATACCTAGTGCATAGTATCGGTCGCGAAAGCCTCCGTGTTCAACATTCCGAGTGCATCACAGAGAGGTCCTTGTCAGAGATGGGTGCTCAGCAATAGAGAAGCCCTCCACAGGCGGTAACTAATTAGGCGATTAACCCTGTGAATATGTCGCACTGATAGACAAATCTCATTCATGAGGGAGACCTGGAGTGAAGTCAGTGACGGAGGCGATGGACAACACAGGCAGTGTAGAATAATTACAGTAAATGGTAACAATACGTCCGAATGCGAATTGCAACTGCGTGGGCGTTTGCTGTTGCGCTGCACTGCTCTCCGACGTGTTGTCTGGATGCGCCGCGTGCCGTGCGGGCGGCGCGACGTCCGACATTCCGCGCTACGTGCCGGCGGCTTCTTCAGGAACGCGAGAAGCTCCCCAGCACGTGGGAGACGAAACGTCGGACGTCGTGCCGCACAACACGCGGTTTTACTTTGTCCTCCACCGCGCCCATTTCCTCTCGTGCCCCTGACCCCCGCTTACAGGTCATGATCCTCATCACGGACGGGAAGTCGTCGGACGAGTTTCGGGAGCCAGCCAAGCAGCTCCGTGACTCCAACGTGGAAATCTTTGCCGTCGGAGTCAAAGGTGGGCGTACGCTCGTCACAGGGAAATTTGGACACGGGCCATCTACTCACTCGCGATGTTGTTTGTTCAGTCTCGTCAACGACAGAAGACAGGTCGTGTTGTTTATAAATTGATTCAAATATTGAACCTGGCTGATACCTTGAGCTTGAAACTCTCATATGCAAGGGTGTCAAGAAAGTATCGATTGACACAAGCACGGCAAACTATGAGCGGAACTCCACAGCAAATCAGTCGGTGTGTGTGAACAGTCACGGAACGCGACCATTACCGCTCGATTCAACTTTAGAAAGAGTGGGGGGGGGCCGAGCCTTCACCAGGGGCCACAGGTCCAGTCCCCCTCCTCTGACCGTCGTTCCCCCGCGCGCCCCCCATTCAGACGCCGTGCAGGCCGAGCTGGAGGCCATCGCCACGCCGCCCGGGGACACGCACGTCTTCACCGTGGAGGACTTTGACGCGTTTGAGCGGATCGCCGCCGAGCTCTCGCAGTCCATCTGCCTGCGCATCGAGCAGGAGATCGAGGAGCGGCGGCGACGTGAGTCCCCGTGCCCACCGCTCGCTCGCTCGCTCACTGACTCACATACTGACTCACTCACATACTCACTCACACACTCACTCATTCACTCACACACTCACTCACACTCACTCACACTCACACACTCACATACTCACTCACATACTCACACACTCGCTCACACAGTCACTCACACAAAGATCCCCCATATAGCCTTAACAGACTGTTGGGGCAAATGCTGTTAGCAAGCACTCACACACTCACTCACACACTGACTCACTCACACACTGACTCACTCACACAGTCACTCACACACTCACTCACACACTGACTCACTCACACAGACACTCACACAGTCACACTCACACACTCACTCACACACTGACTCACACAGTCACTCACACAGTCACTCGCACACTCACTCACATACTCAGTCACTCACACGCGGGCCCTCACTTTTCACGTGCAATAGAAGATTCCTCATGTAGCCTTTAACAGACTGTTGGTGAGCATCTATGAAGGCCGGTAAAACACACGAGGGGGTGGGTGGCCACTGCCTTGCCCGGCCACCTTTGTCTGCCCAGTACTGATGTTTACACACCGCACCAGGTACTCATGTGAGGCTGAGTCGACCTAGGGGAGGTCCAGGTCCGGTTCAGATAAGCGTCACCGGTGTTGGTGGCCGTCAGCAGGAATCGACCTCGGGTCGCCGGGTTCATAGCGCAGCGTAGCGCTAACCGCCACACTACCACTCCCCACCTTCCACATGTACCTGCGCGTACACATGTTGCCCTTCTCTCGTTCCACTGCTGGATGATGACTTGGGTTGTTGCATGTGTCCTGTTTCTGTCCCGGGTTGACCTGCTGCCTTCTGCCGTAAGTTTTATGAGAGAAGACCACTTCTGGCGCAAATGATGGCTTCCTTACGGGTAGAACTCAACGGGGCCTGAGGCTTCTAAAGCAAGATAAGTGTCTGCCTTGCATGGGACAAGGGTCACCACCTGTCCTGATTTGGCCCAGGCAGTTTGAGAATTGGCATTTGTATGGCAGGAATGTATTTGTACCAAAAGATCTGGTGGTGATATTGCGTTGAACTGTAAACTGCACAGTTTTGACAAAACGTAGGCTGACTGATAAATGTGTCCTGGTTTTGTCTACAGTGGAACAGGTGGCAACTCCCATGACGACAGCCTCCTCACACTGAGGGTATATTCCTTAGTCGGAAGAATTCTGGAACGGTCTTCTGGAACTATCTTCGTTACACGCCTACAGATGTTGCACTGTTCACAGTTGTCTGCAAATGCTATTATTTTCATTCAGTAACTTGGCCAGTGGAAGCACATCGCTTTTGTCAAGCCACTGCTGGATGAGAGCCTCTATCTAACCAGCGGGTCATTAGGGTTATTTGACCATACTTCACCAAGGTGGGGAGCATAGATGTGGCAGTATATAGTACAGTACAACAGCGCAGTTTGCTGCACTGTCCTTTGCGGCCCACAACATAGCCCCATAGCAGCCTATAACACCTGTTTGAAGCATAGTCGTCGCCCATCCAAGCACTAACCGGGCTCAACCTCGCTTAGCTTCCAAGGTCGGACTTGTACTCGATTTGCACCACTTTAGTGCTCATGAGAAAGCAACCGGCGTTTATTCATTTGCCAAGGAGTATCAGTCTATCAGTGTAAGCCAGCACAAACTCCCTGAGTCCCAATGAAATAACCAATAAGAGGATAGATACAGTACTGACGGTCATTCTCTTCAATGGAGGGGCGCTTTGTACAAATTGTGCATGCGTAGTTGATGTTCAAGTTAGAAAATGTTTTACTTTATTTTTCGCTGATTGACAAACTTTGTGCACGCGGGGTTCCTCTCGGTGACTATTGGGTGGCGCGCTCAGAGGAGGAGAGGATTCATTTTGTCTATTGAAGAGACGCGTCTCGTCCCGTCGGTCTGCGTGGCGTAGTCTCGCCTCACGCTCGCCCCCCTCCCCATGCTCCCGTGGGGCGGTCACTTTAAGCTTCGGTCTACTCTGTGGGGTTTTATCCCTGGATAATTGTTTTCTTCCTGTGATCATAAATAAAATAAAACAAGCTGCCCAAGCCATGCCTGTAAGTGGGCTTTGGCAATACAATTAAAGGTACGACGCGAGCATGATGAGCGCAGCATGCGGTCGGCTGGCTCACGGCAGCGCAGTTCCCAGAGCCCACTGCTAGCCGCAGACGGGAGGCCAACATTGGAAACCCTTTGCGGTTTCTTGGTCATGAAACTCAGACGCTTGAGAAGGAAAGCGGCGGTTCCTCTCGTAGCAGAGACGTGCGCTTTTTGCCAGACGTCTGTCCTGTGGGACAGACGTCTGGCATTAGCGGAGTTGCTCATTTGGACACAGCACCCAACCCTGTGCACACGGGAACCTGTGCATTGTCACAGAGGACAGAGGGCAGATAATAATCATAATAACAACAACAATCATGCATGTGTTTATATTGTGCAAAATTGCACCTTGAAAAGCACAGTCTTCACTTGTGACCCCACTTTGGACGTAGGGGAAGATGGGCACTCATCGTCATCGTCGCGATCCATGGACAAATAGCCCATAGGTGTCCACTGCACAGTACGTCATTTGTGTCCGCTGTCGTCTGCCATGTGCCAGTATGGTCAAGTAGTGCACATCGTTCTGGCGCCAATCTCTCATGTCGTTGTCCAGCCATTCTCTGTGAGGTCTTCTTCTCTTTCCGGTTCATTCCATTTTGTTGTCCATTCTACATATGTGTAAAATTATTGCCAGTTTCCTTCTCATCACTGCCTGCATCACATCTACTTCTACGGTGCAACCTTTTTTTTGCGTCTACATTGGACACTCTGGGCACTCACATATTCTTGGTTCTTTCGGTAAAGTCACGTGTATTAAAAGCTTTTATTATTTTCAATTTTAAGTCAAAATTTCACAGTGAAACAATTTGTGGGAGTGCCTGCGATTTCCAGGCTAATTCTGTTGCCACAGGGAGAGAAGAGGGCTTTCTGTCTCCACAGAGCCGAGTGTGGGGGCTGGACAGTTGTGCTGGGGGGAAGCTGGCAGAGGTTAACTTCTGTTACGCATGTGCCCAGACAACAGCCCTGTCACGAACGGCCCTTCAGCGCACCATCATCTTCGTCACCATGAGCCACAGTCAAGGCCTCACCAAGCCATTGCCATCTCTCACGGTCCTCAGATGTAATAATCCATTTGGCGCCTGCAGACAGGCGGTCGATTCCATGACTCGATCTCCACGGCGGACGTCCTCTACAGGGACCGCCCCCTCATATCGCCGCCACTCCATCGTTAGCCTTAACCTGCTGGCTGACATGCCTTCGAGCGACGTCTACTTCCCAAGCCCACGCGCTTGTTTCCAACAGTCGATGCGATCATGTATTTCTCACGTGCATTTCTTCACTAATTCATGCGTTCCTCTTTCTGTCTCAATGAATTCGCCGTAATGATTTTACTACACTCCTCCAGTGGAAAGCTTTTCCACGAGACAATTGGACTGGGCTGTAAGCAGCTGTGCTGGAGCATGCTGCCAGGGCCCGGCCAAACGCTATTAAAACGGCGCGTCCCTTTGAAGTGAGGCCCTGGGTTCTCTGTGGACGAGGGCGTGTTTCATTCTTTCCGGCTGTGCACTTTGATGCTTGTACGAAGAGGACAAAGCTACGCCGAGAATGCAAGGGAGGAAAATGTGAAGTATTCATTGTTTACCGCTCGCCTATACCTATCGCGATAGCTGCCAACTGGCCACTCAGATCTAACCATCCACTCTGGCAATTTGTTACTCTGTGCGCCAAATTACAACAACGTGACAGAAAATGTAACGTGAAGAATGTATTCTCGACTTCTTTTTTGGAATGAAGGAAGATATTGCAAAGTAAAAAAACGATGATCCCCGGATTTGCGAGCTGCCACTGCCCTTTGACGGTTAACGTAAAAAAAAATGTCACGAAGTTCGAGAAAAAAGGGTATGGCCACGTGTGTAGGTGTCATGGTCTAATTTTACCCAACTTGATAATTAGAGTAATACCTTGGTTAACGAAGCCTCTGGGAACGGAGCTCCCTCATAGCGAAGTCAGCCGTGAAGGGCCTTTTCACCACCATATTTTTGCTATTTTTTTACAAAATGAAAAAAATATATCTTCAGAAATCACGCCAAGGGATGCAGACAAAGAGTAAAGTTTTAAATGCTGCACGTGCCCTGTAAATGTGACCGAGTGGAGTTTGTTTACCGTACATTATCGGTAGGCCATCAGCGAAGAGCTTCGTGAGTCTCCCTCGCATCGCCTAATCAGCAGCGTGCTTTCCCAATCTTCAATCTCCTGCCCACCATGGCTCGAGCTCCTTGTGTTGGTAGCATTTGATTAAAAACCCTGCTGATCGGAGGTGCGGGCGAAGGACAACAAACTAAACACAAAAAGCAGTTCTAAAGAAATTCGTTTTCAGTCTAAATTTAAAAGTGCATAGCTCCAGTGGAGCCAGTGCTAGTGGCCTTATTGGGCAACATGTGCAGCGTAAATCTATCTCTTTGAAAACGAAAATGCAGATCTTAAGGACGGTAGAGGCAGGAGAGATGAAAAGTGAAGTGGTGCGTACATTAGGGTTAGTGTAGTCCACCTTAAAGACCAGTTTAAGCCAAGCAGACAAAGTAAAGGCTTATATGCAGCAATCTAGTTACCGTAATGCTACTAAAACTTACTAAACTATTTTTTTATTTTTCCAGGTAAGGCCCGTTGAGCAATATAGCTCATTTTCAGAAGCGACCTGGTCATAAATGATAGCCCAATGATGTGGCTTATCACGTGGGAATTTATAGCAGCCAAATACTCTATACGCATGTCTCATAATATGGAGGGAAAAAACTGCAGGACCCGGAGAAAAATACACACGACCACGGGGAGAAAATGCAAACTCTAAACGTAGAGGCGTCAGGGTCGAGATCGAACCCACGACCTCCTGTATACCAGGAGAGTTAGTTCTTGAGTAAATCCACTTAGTA